AATTCATTTGTCTTCAAAACCACTGCTAAAAAATCAGCATTGGCAACAAAGAGCTACCAACTATCACTGCAGACAGCATACATACCGGATGCCTTTCATGGAAATTGCAGATGTATGTGAATGAATAAAATGAAATCGGTACATACTAGCAACAGACTTCCTAACCTGATGCTTTTCAGCTTTGGTTCTCAAATTTCTTTCTCAAACTGCACAGGGTTCATGGGTGACCAGGGAAAGCTCGCTGACCACAGGTTTAAATTCTCTGTGCAGTGATCTGCACCTTGCCTAGCAAAGTGAAATGTCAACAAAGAAAACAAAAATTGAAGGTCTCAGTTATAACTCTCTTCATCCTTGAAGCAGTCTATAGTTCTAGCACAATTTTTAGCATAGACAAATGACTACCATAATAATCAGCTTATCAATATTATAAATGCACAATTATGCAGTTTATAAACCATAAAAGAATATTTAGACAAAATTTTACCTTAGCTCCTTTACCACATATACAGAACTCTTAATTATCCTATGTGTCAAGTGATACAGTTCTACCTACAACTAATAATGTTATTTTAGAACTTGTTCACGAGGACAGATATGCTTGAAAAGCTTATCTGTGACAAATACTCCAGGGTAGTTCCCCATGCATTCCCAAGTGCACACCCTGAACGCACAAATTATTCTGGAGTAAAAAGTACCCATAAGAGGAACAAAGTATAGCCACAGCAAGTCCAGGAGAAGAGAGTCTACAGCCTATTGTTTTGGTTTTACAGACAGGAGAAGCCATTTGTCATTCTCTCTTTCTCTCTCACTAGACAGTTATTAGGCCATGATGCCTTTCACCTTTCTTCAAATAACACTAATAAGATTTCTATGTTCTTTAAACCCCGTGGAGGATGACAAATCAGAGCACAGAATCCTCTTTTTCCAAACAGCCTCATTTCCCTTGCTCTTATAAGAGGAGGTGAGCAGAGTTACGAGATGTTCACACCTTCCCAAAAGCACTCTTCCTCCACCTAGTAGGGACTGCTACCTTTGCACTTAGCATCGCTGCCAGACTGCAGGGCTCTGAAACACGTTTGCAGACATCTCACCTGTCTTCCCCTTTGACGTGTTAAATGGCACTGCACAGTCACAGAGGTGAATGCAGCACGATGGATGATGGAGAAGGAAAGAAAAGGGATGAGTCCACTGGCCTACGACGGGAAAGGAGCACAACATGAGACTGAAGCTACACACTGTGCCACTGAGGAGAGCTCCTCTGAACACTGGCTGAGCAGTACCTCATCCAGCTGCGCCTTCTCCTCCACGCTGGCACTGTAGCTCCAGACACACAAACGAGGTGGACACACAAGGTGTCTGACAGGGCCAGCCTCCTGCTTCTGGCACCAGGGCCACGGAAGATGCCATGGCACAGCTGCAGGGCAGTGCGAAGCTGGGATCTAGTCCTGCAGGTCTTGCGTTCAATGCCTCCCTGGCCCCCGAAAACCTCCTTTCTAAGGCCAGAGAAAACATTGCATGGAAAAACTGTCCCTGTAGAAACTGGCATTTCACTAGGGGAAAAAGAAGGTTTTCCTTTGTTGCTCATCTTTCTACAAGGAAAACTTAGTCATATCTTCATATATTTTAAAGCTAGAAAGGGATATGATAATCACATCTGAGCTCCCTTCATAACTGCTAATGTTATGAACATAATACTTCCTTTCACTTTGTCACTCAATTAAAAGCCTACAGTTTGAATAAGCAGCGTTCTAGGGGACGGAAGCTGTTTTTAGACTGATCCCCAAGTTCTGGATACTTCCAACAGAGCTCCAAAATACCATACCACCACCCACTTTGAAATGGCCTCTGGCTCTGAAGATTTAGGTGATTCAATTACATAAACGTCCCTGTCCAACAAAGCAGGGAAGCCTGCTGCCTTTCTGCATCCCTTTGCCCATGGCAATCACTTACCACCTCTTTTCAAATGTGCTATTAGAGCTAATTATGAACAATCAGAGAATTCAATGGCTGCAGTTTTCCAGTGACATTAGTGAACCACCCTTTTGAAACTACAGTACCACTACTTAAAAAAAAAAAAGCATAGGCACTCAACCACTGCAGTGAAGGAGTGTGCGGTTATCCCCAGAACTAGAGCCGTTTTGAGCACGCTATAGGAACGAGTGGAAGCAGGCAACCTCTCCTCCTGCTCCAAGGCTGCCTGCGTAACACAAGGAAGAGCTGCAACTCTTGCCTCTCACACAGCCCCTTGATCCAGAGGCTGCTAGTGCTTCTACAGAGATAAGCACTATTCAAGCTGAACTAAAATAGGGCAGTGAAAGGTAAATAAGGCACGTTCAGAGGCACGGTGAACTTTTACGACTTGCTCTAGGTCACCCAGCAGAGTGCCACCAGTCACCGTCTGCTTAGGACAGCTAAATCCTTTAGCACACTCTAAGAGAACCAAGAGGGGGGAAGAGCACTTATTAGGAAGGTAATGGAAGAGAATGTAAATCATTTGGGCTTTTTGACTAACTTTTTAGAAGGATATTAAAACACAGGCTTTTTTTTTTTTTTTTTTTTTTTTTTTAATTTTGGTCTGTACAATTTCTCTCCTTCACTATCTGCTCTTAACCCTCATAATCCCTAATTTATCCTTTACTTCCTGTGCTGCCTGCATTTAGGAACTGCTGCAAAATTGAATGAGACAGGGAAACATCTGAAGACCTGAGCGGTGGGTGGAAATTGCAGGTCCTTTTTGCATGCCGGGCTTTGGCAGAGTGCTGCATGCAGCCTGGAAAGGGAACTTCTACCGAGAGCCCATCTTTCTGAAATAATAGCGCCACTGATTCAAGTCACCAGAGATTCCCTTACACTTAACCCTCCCTTCTTTATAGCCCACACATTAACTGATAGTGCATTTGGTAATGTATAATAGCAGATATTGCAGTGTTTATGGCCTGTTAGGAAGCCAGAGTTTTTCCTTCTCCCTTTTTCTTTCGGTCGCTCTTTAAAAAAATTCCTTCTGCTCCTGCTTTGGATGTGAAATCTTCCAGGGTAAAAGTCAGGATTAAAAAAAAAAAAAAAGAAAAATAAACACTGGGTCACTAAGTCTTGAAATGTTATTGCAATTTATATATGGCTGAGAATAAAAAAAGTGTTTGCCTTCTCTGGGAAGATACCTACATGCGAACCAAGACCTTTATAAGAAAATTCTCCTTTATTACCTTGGTGGAAAAAAATCAAAGATTGATTTTCTTTTTATGGCTATTATTAACCTTTTGTTACTGGCCAAAAATAATCTGGTTAGAAAACGTGCAATACATCAAAAAGAAAAAAACAGAAAGAATTTAACAGAAAATTAATGTTCAGGGGAAAATAAGATGATTCTCCCTTTAGTCTTGTCTTCTAAGAGCCAGAATATACCGCAGGAGAAACGAGACAAATGTCAAGCAGCAGCGAATTTTCAGACTGCTGCTACAGTGGCGTTGCAAACAGAAACATCTCCCGGGCTGTCAGGGTGAAGGGGATGGGGAGGTGTCTGATCCTACCTCTCCCTGATTTCAAGCCCAAGCTGTTTACAAATTCATCCGACATATGTCACTCGCGGAGCTCTGAGTGAAAGGCGTCTGCCTATTCCGACAGCGGGGCATGCAGAGCCAGCCACGCACCTCCTCTGTTGGTACCGGCTCCGCTGCCTCCCTTTGAGGGGAGCGAAAAAGCAGTCCTCTGTATAACGGAGACCTCTGAGGTGTAAGCATGAAGCTAAGTGTCTCACCAGCTACAACGGAGCCCTGGCTCCTAATGTACACGCCACCTGCAATTCTGTCCAAGCAAAGGCAAGAAAGATTATTCGACAAAGACTTCACGTGTGTGTAAATACTACCGTGGCTTTTTCTATCCTGTGAGAATGAGAGGTCTGCTGAGAGCCCTGCAGGTTGCAGCTGTGCAGAGGTCTATCTGGTAAGAAATCCCAGAGTGCTTCTCACTGGGCTGGACTGTTGATCCGAGCTAGCAAATTTGTCAAAAGAGGCATATCCACCTCCAAATCGGGCAGGAGAAGAAAGTCAACAACAGCCACTATGGTAAAGAGCAGTCAATCATAATTTGACAGAAATATATTGAACAAGTATTGCAGAACATGACCACACGCACACAGATCAGCCCTTACCTACAACAAGCTGACAGAACTAGGAGCGTTGGCTCATGAACGCAGGCAGGCTCCACTCGGATGGTGGAATAAACCATTCGTAAAACAGTGCCGTTCACAGCCTGGTGTATTAAGGTACCTGAAAACCGCCACCAGTTTACCTCAGACGCGGGCTGCAAACCGCAACGGCTAAAAAGCTGCTTTATGCTCAGTGCAGTCATCTTTATCCTAGAAAAGGTGGCCTCCAAGAGAGCCAGGTAGGTATGCGGAGACAAAAACTGCTTCAGCTCTTTGACTTAATCTGCCTGCAGTCAGGCACTGAGATCCAGCCAGAACTGCCACATGCCCACCACGCTGTGCCCTGAAGCACAACCTGACCCTGTGGGGTGGTCTGTCACAAACAGGCATTTCTAGGACCCTTTTCTGTTTGGCAAAGTGAAGCTGCTGCTCAGGAATTCTCTTTCTATGAGTCCAAAAGGTCTGCTAGGACTGCAGAGTTATGAAAAACAGACCAAAAGAACACACTTCCTTTATGTAAGTTTGGTACTTTATCTACCAAACACCTAGCACATAAGAAACACCTCTTGTCAACAGTACCACAGGTCATACAGGAAGCAATGGCCAGGTGGTCAAAAAACTTTGTTGCAAGGAGAAGTTTCACTGGGAACTGAAAAAAAGCCCCTTATCCGCATGCATTTCATGCGATTGAATCCTGCCGTTCTTTGCAGGCTATCTTTTTAGATGTTCTTCTCTGTGATAAACGCTCTGAAAGAACTTGCTATGCAGTCTCGGAACAATTCAGTTTCATTTGAAACTTTTGGTCAGGAAGTAATGGAAAACATCATTCAAGTTCAACTTTTCCTCCCTTTCTTACCTGGCTGTTAACATCAGCAGCATGTTGTAAGAGTACTGAAACGAGCTCCTTGTGTCCTCTGTCGCAAGCCCAGTGGAGCAGTGCCCTGCCCTACAAATATCCAAAAGAAAATTAACAAAGTCAGCCAAAAGCAATGCAGAGAGAATCGTAGTCTTGCTATGGAGTCCTGAGTACCATTAATAAAATAAACACTGACTGTTTTTTAAAAATTATGCTCAGACTAGTATGCAACATACCATTCATTGCTCCTGATGTGGACTTAAGAGAGTAATGCTAGAAATACTAGAAGTGAGGCATGGCTCGAGTCTGCATTCCTTTCACACCAAAACCACTAGTCAGCAATAATTTAGAGGAGAAAATCAGCAAGGTGTGAAAAGCAGGAGCCAAAACATGATTTGCTTTCTTATATAGATTTGGGATCTACATGCATACTTCAAATACCTCCCAAACTCATTGTACTTTGTTTTCCCCTCTCTACAAATCTCTACACCTGAAGTCTTTCTACATGCTTCTGCCACCCATAGGAGGGGACATATTGAAAGTTCAGATCTTCACTATTTGTCAAGGACATTCTGAAGTTCTGGATATTAAGCACTCCTCTGATTGAGGCATAGCTTAACAACCTGCTGAGGGCAGGGCGAGGTTGCCATGTGGGTTTTTTTCCCCCCCTCGTATTAAACTCAAATTCCTGCCACTTTTATGTCACTTTTAGCAAGGATTAAGACAGGGCAATATATGATGCTGAAGCAAAGAGAACCCCAAGATGGCCTTTAACTCCCCTTCAATCTCTTCCCTCGAGACATATCTCCTGTTTAAAGGAACGGCTAGGGTGGACGGCGAGAAGGATGGGTAGACTACAGCACGACCCCACCGTCACACCTCCCTACTGTACTTCTCCAAGCTATCTAAGGAGAGCATCCAGCAATTCAAAGCTCTTGAAACATTCACTTGTTTTGCTGTGTTACGCTAATTCATCTCCTGACCTGCAAAATCACCCTTTAGTGATTAAGAACAAAATATTTATACACGGCAGAGGAGGAAACGGACTGGAGCAGATGAAAATTTACATCTGTGGATGCTGACACATCCACAGCCAGAGCTGCTGTCCTCTGCCATGTTTCGCAGCGAGGAACGGTTCAACCTCTGCCCAACAAAGCAGCCATTTCCTAAGAGTCTGAGCTCAGGTGCTCCAAAGCCTGAGGTGTCCAAAGTCAGATTGCCTCGGAAAGGGCTACAGAACCACCGAGCCCAGTGAACCGAAATCAAGGTTTTGAATTGGGTTCATCAAAAATATTCTGATACCGGCCTACTAGAATATCCACACCTGTGAAAGGTAACGCTTGTTTTTGCAACAGGTCAAAGGAGAGTTATGATACAGTTTCATACTTTAACAACCCTGCACCAAGGCTGGAGTGCTTCTCCTCTGATAATCACAGACTCAACATGCATCCAAAGCAGCAACAGAGCCTTGTAACAAGCAGGTCCAAAACTCTCCTATGACCCACAGGAGATTTTATACGCAGGGCAAGTCAAAAGAGAAAGCGCCAAACAGTTTAAGATAGAAGCTTTGTGCCACTGTTTACCATGTACACTTATTAAACTTCCTGTTAGTATCAGTCTTTCCTGACTTAGTACATAGCCAGTGGTGTGCCTGCAGGAGACTCTTTGGAAATCACCCTGCAGATGAGTAGGAAATCATTCCCCTATCTGTGACACTGTCAGACCAACTTGTGTTCTCCAATGTGTTATATAAAATATGCACAGACCTTCAAAGCTGAAATCAGTTACATGAGCCCGTGCCTGGTTATAAATCTCTTGACACAGCAGTGACGAACAAGGAGAGCAACCCGATTTATCTGCTAATGGGAACTGCGAGCCAAATTTCCCAACCACAGTGCCAAAATTGCAGGATTGGTAGAAGACACCTGCAACTGAAGCTCACACGTCTGCTCTCAGATACTCTTCAGCAGGGCAGCAGAGGTAGAACGTTATTTTGAGTGAGGAAATGCAATCTGGGACACAAGACATTAAGCTTTTTAACACACTTTTTGACCCAGCAAGTAAGTAATTTTTGTAACACATAATTTTAATGTTACACTAATTAACCTTGAATAAGAATGAACTTTCTGACAATGACTTTCTGTGGAAGCACTGATGACATCCATGGGCCATTTAATGATTAATGTTCACTCAACACCACAATCAAAGCCTAAATGGGGGAAAGGGCCTGATTTAAAACAACTGGTAAATATGGAAAGATCTTGAATTCATCTTTAACATTCTTAATTCAACTCTGTACTACTAATTGCTTACGACTTAGCATTTCAGTTGGACAAGTAATACAAACTTCTTTGTGCCACAGACTTTAATTTCAGAAGAAAGAAGTAAAAGAAGCACTTCATCTTCAACATGCCTCCATGCGATAAATACTTCACATGTGTAAAACGGAATGACCTATTGTACAGGAACACTACCGTAACCAAACAGTAATTATTGCGCAATTATAGGGTGAAATAAAGCCATTTTTATCCTTTAAATACCTATAAATCAGTGGCTATAATATGTTGGTTTGCATATGTCTCCAGATAAGTAAAATGTAATTTTATCAGTGCTGAACTTGGCAGAGACCAATAAAGGGAAAAATAATAGTTCGGGAGGAAGAAGGCTTTCCAATTTTGTACATTCAACATTACTGAAGCTCTACAGGACTGGTCCCTTCCTATATACAGGAAGGCTGGTTCTGCTGCAAGCGTTGCCTTTTAAACAAGGCAAAAAAACTGAAGCTCAATCATCTGTAGTCATTAAAAGTCTCCTTGTGCTTTTTGCAGGAGTATGGATTTTAAGTCTTGGGCCAATTCCACTCTGGGTAATTACACTGTGCTTACCTATATATTTTCTCTGCAATCCTAAATGGATACAATATTTTCCAATTAGTGCCTTAAATGGTTCTGCATTGTAATTGTGCACTATTAAAAAGCTGACACGTTCCACCCAAGGAACGGCTACACTCTAGTAGCACGTGTATTATCCCCTAAACACAGGGTGCAAAGGACTTCGGAGTCTTTCTCTGCAAGAGCCAACTGATATGGAAGTAGAAATACCTGCAGAAGAATCTCCGTCTAGTTACTATATAACAAAAAGCATTGCTAAGAAACTTGTTTATCAAACAAGAAATTATTCTGTATTACTTGCATGATATCCAGAAAATTTCAGAAAGTTAGTTCCAGCTCATACACTTAGTCAGCTACTAATCTACTTATTTACCTTGCTTTTCTATTAAAAACAAGCAAACAAACCAAAGCAAACAAAAAACAACCAAAAACCCACCCATGAAAATTAAACCAAACTTAAACTGAGTGGACAATCTCAACAGCTGTTGCAGAAGTTACCTGAGAGGATGCATTTTCCCCTGTTGCTAAAGTATTTAATAAAAAAAAAAAAAAATCATAAAAATAGCTCCAGTGCACTAACCCTGTCTCTTAAATCTTCTGTGCTTTGCTTGGGTTACCACTGCCAGCTTGGCTGGCTTCTGCAGCAGTTTCTCAAGCCAGCAGCGTATCAATTTTGCTCAGCTCCAAGTCACAGGGTGTTCACAAACAAAGCACAGGACAGGGATTTGTCTCAAATATAGCGAGTCTCAGCAGACAGACAGATGGGAATAATTTTCACATCAATTAGCCAATGCAGAGAAAGAGAAGAACAAAGCCAAACTGAATGGATACCCTACAGTATTAAGCTATACTTCCAGGTACAATATTTGCGGCCGTAATTACTGTAAACCGGAGAGCCACTCTCTCCAACTTGTAGTAAGTGTGTTATGATTACTGGTAGTTAAGAAGAGACATACATAATGGCTGCATCCCCACGGATGATAGCAAAATCGGTGAATGAGAAGGCAGTTGTAGCAATTATACACACAAACTTGAGCTTTGATTTGGAAGTCCCTTGCTTTCAGAGCTTTGAAATGTTTGGGAAAGTTTTCTGATGGGAGTAAGCCTGCATACAGCGAAGCATGTGATGCTTCTTCAACCCTATTTTAATTCTAACCTTTCTTTAGAAGCTGGCACCACTTTGGCATTTGCTGTCTCTAAAGCATGAGAACTGGGGACTAAGCTGTCCCCCAATGGTTTCAGCTGGCTTTCATTATATTTTTGGCAAGTGTGTAAATACTGCATAGAGGTAACGTGTCTGTTTAGCACGATTACTTCCAACAATAAAATAAAAATAAAAACAATAAAAAAACAACGCTACCTACAGCCTCCACAGCCCTGGGCACAAGTTACAAAAGCAACTCATCTGTGCCTTCAAACAACTTCTGGTTTGCTAAAGGTTGAAGAAACATTGTCCTCAAAAAGGCAGCAAATAACCTACGATATCAGAACGTGCCTAAAGCCCTACAGCCAGAGCTCATTTCGTACCGCGTGAGTCCTGCTGACATATGGAAGAAACTGTGTTTTTTTTCTCCAGTCTGTGCTACTACTTCTAAGTGAATGCGTGCTACTCTGTTGAACTCTGAGCAATTTAGATACAGTAAATGGAAGCTTATACATGATTACTGTCATTAGATTCTTTGTTTAATTCTAAATTGAAGTTTATTATATTCGAACTGTTAGCAGGTACGCTGGCTTGAGTGCTGTATGAGGGATTTTTTTTTCTTCTCTTTTCTAGGGGAGGAGACAGTTTATTCTTCACAAGTTGCCAAATGCACCTCTCTAAAACCTAGACAGTTCTACTGCCCTTTCTGAAACCTTTCGCTTCTAGTAAGGAGCCCTGTCCTCATTGTACATTTGCATTTTGGATCTTTCTTCTTTTTTTGCTAACTTACCTCAGATTTGAAAAAAAAAAGGGGGGGGAGGGGGGAGGACACAAGGACATAGTTAGATACAGTACTAACACAACAAGTGCAGATACAATCTAAACATCTTACAACCTCAGTCAAATCATTATTGTACAAGGAAAGGATGTGCCTAGCTACTTTATACTTTAGCAGGAGACAGCTCAGTGCTTCAGCAGATTCTGTTCCATAATAAGTTAACTCTTTGTATATACCCATGCTGCCATTTCAAATTTATATGCGTTTAAATCAAAGTAGTGACAGTGTGAGTTATGTTCAGAGGGCCAGGAGATGCATCTGTTGGATATGGCAGGATGCATTTATTCAGTAACACTAAAACAGTTAATAAAAATGACAAGATTATGCTTTCATACACTTCATTCCACCAAAGGCTCGGTCGGGGTTATATCTCTTCTAAAATGGGTTCTAAAACTCCAATCAGCCTGCATGGTATTGGAAAATAAGCTACCTTCCAAGTTCTGAAGAACACGTTCGGACACCAAATAACACTGTTAATGGTCTCAGCTCCTTAAGATACCATGGGATAAATTTCTCTCTCAGATTTTTTTTTTTTGCTAAAATCTCTATGTACATATATATACATATATATTAGATATAGATAGATAGATAGATAGACCTACACACATATAAGATACAGATACAAGCAAAGAATCAAGCTAAGCAAGCCAGCATGTTGCCAAAAAAAGTTCCTACTTCTCTGTTAGAGCATTTGCTGAAGTAAGCCACGACTGAGGCTGCAAGATTCCCCTCTACGGGTGAATTTTGCACCAGAGGGAATCTTCCCACGAACCTGTTGCAGGCAGGCAGGGTTTCAGAGGTTTCCTACCTGTGCTGACGCAATTCCACGCCCTACAACAGTCACACGCTAATAGCTGCTATTTCTACGTTAGTTCTTCTCTTACATCAAAGATTCACAGACAATTCTCAAGGAGGATGTAACCTGACAGTCTTCACATCCGTTTCTAAGCATTTATATGTTGTGAGAACACAAAAGTATTTCAACCATCTTTCAGAAAGTGTTATGACTTTTTAAAACCAAAATGTTTTTGTCTGGAAACAAGCACACTTGTTGTTTGCACACAAAGGAAGTTACGTGCTTCTGAACTCTGCTAACTCTGCTAGGAGCATCTTCTCAATGGAAATGAAGCAACTGTGACATAACGCTATCATACACTTAATGCAAGCACATAATCTCAAAAAAGGAGCTTTTATCAAGGAAAGGACTTCAGCTCTGCTCTGAATGACTGTCCTGAACGTTTCTTTCTGTAACCTGTGGTCAGGGGAGGGACGGATGGAGCTCAGCGACGGCACTGTTGCAGTGACTGCGTTGCACATGACAGTTTCAGTTCATTGAATTTATGATGTGAAATTCCAACCCTGAGTGTGAACAACCTCCTCCTCCTCTGAAAATTAATTCACATGAATTCCTGATTAATAATAAAAGTCCCTGCCATCAGCATTCAGAGCCCCAGCCGGGGCTGTCATGGCTCAGAGGGCAGAAATCTGCTTAGAGCTACAAGAGAACCCAACTGAATTTGTGGCGTCTCAGTCTATGAATGTGTAAGCACTTCATCTGTTCACCAAAACACAATGTGCTGGGAAGCAGTGGGCAAACGTAGCTGTACCTACTGTGGACCAAGAGCAAGGCTAGGTGGCGGTATGCAAGCACTGAAACCACCACGACAAAGCTGGTATCACTACATTTCCTGAAGGCTGAACAAGAAATGTGACTGCCTGCTTAAAACGTTTACTTTTCCAAAAAAAAAAAAAAAGTCAAGCCAATTCACAATTTTAGACACTGTTTTCTTAAAGCCCTGGTCCATGTCTGCACATCTCCCTGTGAGTAAATGGTGCTTGGGCTCTGACTGCTAAACTGAAAAAGACTGGATGAAGTCACCGTTTTCATGAAGCTGGCACAGCCAGAATCACTCACTAGCCATCCGCCTGGCTGATGATAAGGAAGCCAAATGACATCTAGCCCAGCCTGTACAGCTTGGGATGGCATAAAAGAAATCTTGACTACTTCACCCTTGAATGGAGTGGCAAAATGATTTAACTGGTCAACTGGATGCTGTCTCTAGAAAAGCCATTTTCCTCACTTCCTACTTCTATTTGATCACATTTAACGCACAAGATAGATAGGGAAGAGGTTACTGAGCAGGTCTTACACTGCAAGCTGCAGCTGGTGCTGCTAAAACAGCATAGAAAGAACATCTTCTGATCTGCCATGGCATCACAGTTTGTACGTCCACACTATGAGAAAGCCAGGGGAAAGCTATCGCTGCTTTAAAACAGATTACACTTGTCTCAACGACCAAGTGTTCGTCCAGCTACTGCAGTAGCTGATTATACCAACCCTAAAACGGGAATTCTGAAAAGGCCTGGGGTTGTGAACACACAAAACAATTAAAAGACTGATGGATTTTATCTTTTCCCCCATACCTCCTCATCGGCAACATTCACGTCCACGTTTTTTGATCGAATGGCTTTGGTTACATGGTCGATGTTGTTTTCTCTGCAGTAATCAAAAATGTTCTTGTCCTCCTCCCTATTCAGGAAACAAAAGCAAAAGAAATGTTGTCTTACTGCATAACACAAAGACCACATACATATCATATGCTCTGGCTTAGCTACAGACACATCTATTTCAATAGTATTGCTGGAGTAAAACAGACTTGTAGTATTGCGCATGCAGAATACTGTTTTTTCCAAGATAAGAGACAGAAGACCCTGCTTCCTAGAAAACAAAGGCTGTTTTTAACAATACGATACCAGGGAAAAGCCTCCTTGCTCCTGTGAACTGCCACAAGGAGTCTACAAAGTTAGCCAACAAGAAACAAACTCAGTCTTGGTATAAATTGCTGCAATCCCAGAGAAAAAGGCTAAAGCTTTTCTTCGCCCTGCTCTACAAATCGACTTATAAGAACAGCCACTCTAGGTCAGACCAAAGGCTCCTCCAGCGCCATATATCTCTGACAATGGCTACTAACAGAGGCTTAGAGGAGAAACAGGACCTGCGCAAAGCAATCCATCCCCAGGTTAAATCCAACTTCCGAAACTCAGTGTCTTCAGGATTTCTGTAGCCAGAGGCTGCATCCAGTCACGTTTATCAGCCTTTCTCAGGTCCTTTACTCCACTCTTTCTCCTCTTCAACGCATATATACTCTTCACCTCTCTGAAGGATGAGCTCTACAGCTTAGCATTGTATGTGCGAAGGGGTGAATAGTGAGTAAATATTTTCTTTTAATGGTTTTAAAAGAGCTGCCCCCTATCACTGGGTACTCTTTGGTGAATAATTGTTCTTTATTCACCTACTACACGTCATCTTTCCTTCAGAGCAAATCCTCCTCTTAGCCCACGTCGTCTCCTCATACAGAAACTCCACTCCTTCTCTGATACCCCTCTTTCAAACTCTTCAGTCTCTCTGGTTTTAGCACACCCTTTTTAAGACGGATTGATCTGAACTGTGTGCTATATTAAATATGCAAGCGCATAGATTTACACAGTAGGATAATGATGTCTTCATTCTGCTCCCTATGCCTTTCCTCAAGCTTCCTAATATTTGCTTTTTTACTTGCCATGAAGCACTGTGGCTCCAGTTACTTGTACAAAGCGCTCCCATAACGTTTTAAGAATATATAGGAGGTACTAACTATTAAATTAGATTCCATTTGGTAGGCTGATAAGAAATTTTAACATATTTTCTAACACCACGGCATTGCACTTCGATCTAGAGGAAGCTATGTCTAACTCAAACACCTGCGACTCCACAACTTATTGATCTTCCTGCCTGCTAGCAGCCCTGGCTGAGCACACATTGGCATCTTGGCACAAACACATGCTGGTCCCTCTGCACAGTCCAGCCTGCTGCTCTGAGTTGGGAACACAGTCAAGCTTTGTCTTAATCCCTCCAATCCAAAAAGTAGTGCAATGGGGTTGCCTGTAGGCTGGCAAAAAAGTAAAGCCCTTGGCCAAAAAACCAGGAAGAACACCAAGCACTTCACAGATCCCCGGGTTAAGATGGGATATTAATTACAGCAGTATGGCTGAGTACAGTGCTCCTACCTTGCATACTGGTGTACCAGTAGAAAGTTATTTATTCCAGCACAGCTGGAGGGGGAGCTATATCATACTAGCTTAAAGCACCTTTATCACAATATCTTTAGGTACGGATACACTGATACAATTGTATTCCTAGTGAGGAGTAAAGAAAAGAGGTCACAGTTGGGTTGCTTAAAAGTAAATAAGAAATCCTACGTTCTTCCCTCCCTTTCTGGTTTCCACATGAAAACAATTGCTCAAAAGACTCCATCAGCATTGTTATGGGATGCGACAGTTTCACAAGAGCTACCAATACGAGGCAGTTAGCCTTTCCCATGACGTTCCCAGTTTCCAGTCATCTGGATTTATGAAGGCTCAGATGTTCAGCAGAACTCAGACCTGAGAACCCCAAAGAAAATCTCTCGTAAGGACAGGGGCTTGCTGGAGTACGTCAGACCCACTGGGGAGTTGATTATGCTGTGCGTCTTCATGGCAGAAGAGAACGGCCTCTGCAATGCAATGGGACACTTTGAGGAAAACCGATCCCCTGGTGTTAAAAAGCAATAGCACTCTTCCCATCTCACCTGCACTGTTCTGGAACCTGGAAGGCTGAAAAGTCACAGCAAAGAAAAATAAAATCCAAACGTTACTTGCATTAGCGGGCAATGAGTTACAAAGCACAAATGATGCTTTCTGACTTGCACTCCCAATAAAAATTAAGATACGGATGCCACCAAGACCATGTCTCCCACTCACATCCGAACAGACAGGGAGAGCTCTGCAAAGCCCCTCAACTTCCAGGCTTTTACTGTTATGCATCCAGTTGTAAATTATATTTTATTCTTCAGATCTCAAACGTCTTTCTCCTTCCTTAGTGGCAGTAAAAGTGTGTGCGTGTGGGGGGGGGGGGGGGGGGGGGAATAAAAGTGCTACTTTCTCTGAAGAAGTCACTTCCCCTGATCTCCCTCTCACTGTGAGTAGGCACCTCTCCCATGCACATCACCTCTGTTCTTTGTATGCAAGCATCTTTTTGCACAGCTGAGTTGTACCTTTCCAGTGAAGAGCTGCATGCTGTACGAGATCTCACACTTCACGAATAGGCCTAGGGACATAACAGAAGTTTTCCAATTTCTTAACTAAGTCTCTCATGAACTCATTCGTTTGAGGTCTTGTCCGCACACTACACACAAACCCCTGGGAAACAAATCACTGCATGCTTTAGATGTGATTACTTTGAATTCTGGGGGGTGTGGGGGGAAGGTCTTGCGGTGGGAGCAGGAAAGGCAAAAGCCTAAATTGCTTAAGGTAAAGCTCGACAGATTCATGATGGAGGTTGAGACATGTCTGCCCCTACTAGCAAGGACTGCTTTTACATGCCAGGAGGTCCCTTCAGTCCTACCTTGTCAGCCCAGCCTCTCAAACACGCCCTTGGCTGCCGAACAGCAGCTTTGTGGTTGAAACTACTATTCTGACAATACTGTACAAAACTTGCTTCCAACAGCTTTTCCCTTCATACAGACACACACGTGCACACGCTCTCACACATTTCCTTCCGTACAGATCATTCCTTCTTCTGTAACATCAAAGTAGAGTCTAGTCTCTGCTCGCTAAAGAAGTTGTAAGATCAGCCACAGTTATTTCTGGATGATTTTCTGTGGCATAACCATGAGTTCAGGCTGTACCCGCTGCCCCGGCAATGACATCCACTGAGTCAGCCTGGGCACGGGCATTTCTGCACGCCACCGAGATGGCTGGGTAGGCTGATCAGCTCTGCCGGACTTCAAGCGGCAGGGCCAGAGGTACCACCAGCACAGGAGGCAATATACGGGAACCAGACAGCAAGGGGTCCTGCAGGGTTCTCCAAGGGGAGCAGGCCACAGGCTCTGCCATGCAAGCTGTGACGTAGCAAAAACAGGCAATCTTTCTACCACAGCTTCCAGACAAAACCTCTACAGTCTTTTCCCAAGGATATCACCATCTGTAAGGGGGAAAACTGACCGACAGCTTTTTGGATGCGATGTGGCTTTGCTGGAATAACTCCCCCTCTGAACGCTCTATACGTTCCCCTTCCAGAAAACCATCTTTATTTCGGAACGCAGTCTCCACAGTGGATTTATTCCACGATAGCAAAGCAATTTCCCCACATGAAGATAAGGTTTCGGAAAAATTTCATCTTTCCATTATGCATTTATTTTTCAAGCTTTAAACAATTCCCCTGCTGTAAAAGGGGGGGGGGAGGTTGGTTTCTTAGGGCACATTCTCTCCTCAGTCATTCTACAAATTTGACAGAGAGAAATAAGCCCTTCACCAAATAGATGCAAGGGAAGTCTAACCAGTCTTAATGAAGACTTTTACCTACAAAGGGTTCCAGGAAGCTGCATCTCAGACATTTAAAAGAACTAGATCTAGTCACATGCCAAAAAAAGTGAAGACAAAGGGAGAAAAAAAAGCTCGGAAAAGGATTTGGAATTTAAACTGAATTTTTGAGTGACCAGTGCCAGAAAAAATGCTGCACTTGCAGGGGGGGAATGCAGTACAGGACAAACAAATGTAGCTCTTAAAAGCCTTGCAACAGTAAGTTCATTTTTGCCCTTTATGTGCCTACGTATACATGCAGGAAAGGCCCTCCATAGTAGTAATTACAGCAAAACAAAATGCATGAAGTGTTTGCAGATCAGTCCATAGTGGGTATTTGCACTCTACATAAGAAGCTGGTCAGAGCCGGCAGCAAGGCCTTGAAGCTGGTGGAAGTAAGAGTCTTAAAACCCCAGACAGCAGCACATCAGAAGTATGGTAGTAAGTAATACTGCAATGAGATTGCTCAAACAATGCTATAGAAGAGAGAAAACCAGAAGCTATAATTTCTATAATTTTTTTTTTCAATTTCAATTTGAAGAAAAACACAGTATTTAAGACCATGAAACTCCAACATGGAAACATACACCAATTATTAATGTAAAAAAGCATAGCTAAAGGAAGACAGAGAGGCAGTTTTGTTTCTACATCACACTGCTTGTGACATACAAGCACTGTCTCTTTTTACTTAGCTAGAAAGGACTTTTCAAACCAGTAACCATTTAATAGTCTGTAATAGTGGTGAATGTGTTTCTATTTGGGTTTGTTAGGTTGGCCAAAAGGGTTTCTCTTCTCCTCCTTTGCCTGCACACGTTCTACCTGGAAAGCGATTTTCTTCTGCTCTCCTGCCACGAACGGAAGAGTTACTAACCCTGATCCACAACCAAGTTGAACCGTATCTGTTGCCATAGGTAGCGCATGCGGAGCTTTTTCAATCCTTAAGTAAAGGATGTGGAAGAAATTAAACCAAGCCCTCTTTGCAGCCTTCACAATCTTGGAAGGCTTCACAAGGCTTCTTCATAAGCTACCCAAACTATACAGGTGTACAGGGAGCTCTCAAAACAGCTCACAAGCAAAGATCTGCTTCACTTCCATCCTACCTGGACCATCACATACCTACCTGCTCTCTCAACAGTCACAGAGACTGTCAGG